CCTCCTGGACAGGACAATCCATCTCACCGACCCTCAGAAGACTGTGGTCCCAGCTGACACCACAAAGAGCAGAACCACCAGCAGATCTGTTAACACACACAACTGTGGGAGATAATAATGGTGGTGGTTGTTTTAAGCCATTAAGTTTTAGGATGGTTAGTTAAGCAGCAAATGGTCGACAAAAGGTCGCTGCCACCAATCCAATGACAACAGGAGTCCCCAATCTGGGGTGCAGTAAAAGGAGAGACTTTATCCAGATAAACAGTTTGCAGATGGGAAAACGCAGCCTCAAAAGAAACCAAAAGTGCGCTCCTCCAGACAAGGGGAGGCTGGCTTACAGAGAGGAAGTGCCCACCCGGGTCCCTGATTGGTCCATTTTTATGCAAATGAAGGGTCCAAATTTGCACAGTTTGATTGGTCCAAATTGTACCGTACTGACTGGTTGGTCATTATGGTGCCACTCTGATTGGTTGGTAAAGATGCAAATGAGGATGTAGTTGTGCAGCTCTGATTTGATGAAGCTGCCCCATTGGTTGAAATATAGTACCAGGAATTCCTTTATGAGGGTCCACTTGGCTGGCAGGTACACAGTGCAGTAGGCTTGGCAGCCCCAATGTGTGGTTTTCCCCTGAAATGCAGTACTTGTGAGCGGCCCCCCTAAACAACAGCTGCTAGACTCTGACTATGAATTTGGGCCCAGTTAACCACAGGAGTCCTTTTTGACAGGTATATTGCTTCTCGGGGTCAACAAAACTGATAACACTCTGTAGAGCTTTCAAGCACTCAGGACACGAGTCGGCGAACTTTTCCTGAAAAGAGCCAGGTAGTAAATATTTCAGATTATGCCTCTGCTGTTGTAGTACATAAACAGCCATAAATAACACGTTAACAAATGTGCATGGCTGTGTTCCAATAAAACTTTATTTATACGAACAGGCTGCAGGCTGGATTTGGCCCACAGGCAATCATTGGCCCAGGAAACTGCTTGGAACACAGTAAGTGCTACAGAAGTGTTAGCTATGAGTGTATGTGTGAGTTCAAGAGTGTGTACATCTGTGCACGCATATGTGTACACATGTCTGCATGGGAAGCACATGTCTGAATGAGTGTAAATGAGTCGATGTGCATAGTGTTTAGTCCTGTAAAAACAAAGCAACAAGCTTGTACCAGCCAACATTTCCACGCAGCTACCCCAGGCCTTCCCACTTCTGTTCTGGGAGAAAGGGAAGCGTCTGAGAAAGCCAAGAGAACCAAGAGCTGATATGTCCCTGTCGTTCCCACTGGGGTTAAGTTTGGAGGGAAGCCATCTTCGGTGGCTGGGCTACTGAAGGGCCAGCAGCCCATGTCTTCCCTTCTGCAGCAAGGAGGATGAGGTCAGCTCTCTGGGGGGTAGGGGACACTATAAAACTGAAAAAGGAACTCTGGAGCTTTGAAGAAAGAGCTTGAGGGCTGGAAGAAAGGGTGGGTGGCTTTTCCTGTCAACTTGTAAACATCTGCCTGCTGGTTTCATTCTGATCTCCCAGTGTGGGACTCCTGAGGGGCCACTTCCTGCAGACTAACCTCCCTGGCTGGCTTTGCAAGAGCCAGAAGTGCAGCCAGTGTTGCTTCAAGAAGCAGCAAATGTAAACTCGAATCCCTGTGGGCACTTACTTTGCTAAGTGGCCTTGAGGCATGTGGCCTCATTTTGATGAGCCTGTTTCCTCATCTGTAAAATGGGGATGATATTAGTACTACCTCCTAGGACCGTTGTGATGACTAAATGATGATGTGTGTCAAGCATTTGGCACGGAGCTTCGCACACAGTAAGTGCTCTGCAAGGTGACACCCTGAGACAGACTGGCATGGTTTAGTGTGCTGGAATTCGAGATTTCAGGGCCGCCTTCCCTAATCTCCCCAGGGCTTCATTAAGGGCCCTTCTGATGTGCAGTGTTCATAGAAACCAGTTTCTTTCCTTCAAAGCATTCATTTATTCAGCACTCACTGGCATGCTTATTTGACAAGCATCTGTCTTCTTTAGCAGACTGGAAGCTGCAGACAATGAGATGGTGTCTGTTTTGTTAACCACTCTATCCCCAGTGCCAGCCCAGGGCCTGGCACATTATTAGCACTCAGCGATTACTCACTGAATGAGTGAATGGAGATGGAGTGCTTCATAATCTGATGTTCCCCGAGCCCCTCGGGAAGAGCATCTTCTCCCCATCTTTAATCAGCACATCAATCTGAGGGGCTTTCAATCGGGCCTTCCAAAATGAGGTTATGACAGGATTCCTCCTCAGCAGCCTGTCAGGTTAGGCTGGGCTATGCTGCAGTAACAAAGAACCCCAATGTTTCATTTTGGAGGTCTCATCACAAAGGTTTTCCTCACTCATGCAAAGTTCAGTATGAATCAGGTGACGGGCAGCTGTTCACAGTGACTCAGTTCCATCTTGTGATGCTGCTATCTTCATCAGTGACCTTTATCAACCTCTGCAGGATGAGGTCCATGTCTCTTTTGCTCCTTGCCCATCGGTTAGAACCAGTCACTTGGCCCTGCCTAACTGCAGGGGGACTGGGAGATACTGGGTTCCTCAAGGATAGTGAGCAAGCAGAAGTGTCTCTGCCACATGTGGTAAGGGCTCAGACTTCTTAGCTGGTCTCATGGGTCCAGGTTTAGGGAGAGGACCCCCCCAAAATGCATTTTGAAGACTTGGAAAGTGGAGATTCCTAATTAGGTGGCTTTTGACAACCAGAAATTTATCAGAGGAAAAAGAATCAATCATCGCAAATCCTTTGCTTAAAATATGGAGCAGTGTTTTCAGTAGTTTCTTGCTACGTAAGATTCTGAGGGTCCCCCACCTCCAAACGCCACTCCATTTTTCTCCATGGTTGAAATACATTGTAATGGTTTTGTTTTGATAAGGATCGACAGTTGCTTGTCAGAGGCATAACTCCTAATTCGAGGAGACCAACGATTAAATAAACCATGAAGATAAAAATCTTTTGAATGAGATGAGGTTTTCAAAAACTTTTAGTTTGAGTCTGGCACATAGTAGGACTCCTAATTTCTCCCCGCTGGCTTCACTGGAGGGTGTCTTGATGAACATTAACTTTTTGTAAGTGTGGGAGGTGGGGCGGGGAGAGGGAGAGAAGGCTGAGACAAAGTGTGGGCAAGACCACTGATTAGTCACGAAAGAGCCAGCGTTTTGTGAACACGGGTTGTATCCGATGTATGTTCTTTCCAGGCCAGGAGACTAAAAGAATGAGGTTACTGTCCCTCCAAATGTAGAGGCTTTTCTTTGCTGAGAAGTTTCAAGATGACTCTGATGACTTTTTTTTTTTTCTTACTTTTTCAAAAATGTTTCATCGTTTCCATCTCCCTGGGGTAAGAGAAAGGGGAAACTGCCAACAGGATGAAATCCTGTGCCTGCTTGGCAACGATATTTTGTCTGGTGTCGCTTAGCTACAGAGTTCTGTCCTAGGATTTTATCCCACCACCACCGACGACCCTGCCACGAAGCAAGCTTCGCACACATCAGCTAGTGGTGCCACAGCGCCTGATGGTGAAACCACAGGTTCTCTACTGAAAAATTCCAGAAGGAACCATCTGACCTAAGTCAGTGGTGCGCAACTCTGGCTGCCTTCTAGAATCACCCAGGAAGCCGTGAGAAGTACCCATGCCTGGGCTGCACCCTGCATCTCTGGCCTCACAGGGCCGGGGTGGAGTCCTGAGCATAATTTTACAAAGCCCTTGAGTATTATCATACAGGGTGGCGAACCACTAGCTTGAGCTTTCCGCCAGGACTCAAGCCATGGAAATCAACTTTCGTTTAAGAAATAAAATGGGGACAAAGCTTAGAAGATGGTCCAGTTTAGCAGAAAGAGAGAGATATAGGGGTGGTCGACCTTATCACTGGGTGTCCTTTCTGGGAAGATGTACGATAAATATTTATTCACAACTGCAGACTCACTCACAGTTCTGTGGCAAGGGAGGTCTGGTGATGGGCAGGCACTGGGCAGAGTGCCCGAGGGTGACCCCCTCTTAAGAAATGGATTCCTTTTTCTCTTGTTCCGGAGGTGCTGGGGCACTATGCCTGAGAGACCATAGCTAACGTCTGGAAGGCGCGTCTCAATTTCACATGCGTTATTCTTTGATTCTCCCAACAAACCTGTAAACGGGGGAACTACCACCCCCATTTTGCAAATGAGAAAACTGATGTCCACGTGAGTGAACTGACTTGCCCAGAAGATAACAGCTAGTGAATGGTAGAGCTGAGACTTCAGTCCTAAAATTTATGGAGCACCGACTATATGTTAGGTCTTAGGCAAGTATAAATTATATAATCATAAAATGATAAATTCCTCAATTACTTCTCATTTCTTTGATATACTCTTCTGCTATTTGTTTCTAGAATTCATGTGGTAGAAAATTATTTACCTACAAATACCCATTCTTCCTGCATATTTTGCTCAGGGCTGCTATATGCCAGGTGCCAGGCTTTCTTTCCCAGTTTCCCTTACAGCTCAGAGAGGTCATGTGACACTGTTCTGACCAATGAGGTGTAAGAAGAAGTCTGCTGTGCTCTCTAATCCATTCTCTCTCCTCCGGGCCTGTAATAGCCCCTATGGGATCTTGACATGACAATTGTGAGGATAAAAGTGAGAATATCCAGAATGGCAGAGCAAAAAGATGCCTGGGACCCCGATTCATCCCTGAACTGCTGGCTGCCTACCTCCGGGCTTCTGGCTGACAAAGAAATATAAACCCCTAAGTGTTTAAGTCACTACAGGTTAGATTTTTATAAGTTCTGGCCAAACGTATTTCTAAGTGACACAGCCTCCTCCATGCCCTTCATCACTGTCATTCTGTTCCTTTACAATGGAACACGTGGCCCACCAGCTTGACACGGGCCAGCATGAAGCCGCAGCCTAGCCATGCTAGGTCCACTGAATCAGTGTCTTAATTGCATTACCTTTGAGACCTTTGGCATTCTGTCACCTGAATCAGCACTTTCATAAACATATCAGCTTCCATGTGTTCTTACAAGATAAGATCAAAGGCAGGGACAGAGACAAACAGCTGTGTAAACACACTGCTCGAAGATGACGATGCCGCCCGCACTTGACATTGACTGCGCTTCAGCTGAGGAGGAAACGTGGGTTCACCGGGCGGAAGGTGGTTTGGGTGCCAGTCAAGCGTTTGTGTCAAAGTCTGGCTGTTTGAAAGTCAAATGGACCGAAGTCAAGGATGGCCTGCATTTTCTCCAGTGACAGCCCTTGCATGCCAGTATTTTTTTAAGCTTCCAAATCAGTCAGCTATTGCTGAGGCAGTAACTACCACTAACTCAGTGGCTTAAAGCAATGTCTATTATTGCTATGGGCCAGCTGAGAGGTTCTGCTGACCTAGGCCAAGGTTGGCTGGTCTTAGGTGGGCTCGCTCAAGTGTTTCAATCAATCCATTGTAAGGTCGGTTGTGACGAAGACGGGGTTGGAGGGGCTGGTCTGGAATGGCCCTGATCACCTGTTTCACAGGTGGCTGGCCATCAGCTCTGGTGACAGGGTTGGAAGGGCCACGTGCTCTGTCCTCCTCCATCAGGCTAGTTGTTCACAGGGTGGCAGCAGGCTTCCAAGAGAACAATCAGAAGCAGATATTAAATAGGCGTGGCTGTGTTCCCATACTTAAAAAATAAATTTTGTAAATAGAAAGAAATCATTTGCCAACCCCTGCTTAATTCATTCTCCACCTTGCAGGCAGAATGAGCCAAACTCAAATGCGACCTTGTCGTTCCTTGCCTAAAGTGGTTCACCGGTATCTTCGAGATCAGTCCAAACTTGCAGCGTGGCTCACAGGCTTGCGATCAAAGTGTGGCCCCTGGAGCAGCAGCATCACATCTGGAAGCTTGTTAGAAATGCAGAGTCAGGTCCCACCCAGACCTGCTGAATCCAAACGTGCTTTCTAGCAAGATCCCAAGTGATGTGCACATTCCAGTTTAAGAAGCTCTGGCTTCAAGACCCCTGGGGTCCTGGTGCCTCCCTACCTCTCCCGTCTCACCTCGGCCCCTGAAGCCTTCTCCCGCCCACCCACCCACACTTTCCAGCCAAACTGAAATGCGCCTTTCACCGCAGCGAGTGACGCCTTCTCCAGTGCATCTCCCCTCGCTGGGCGAATTCCAACCTATCTTTGGATCTCAACTGAGACAACGCCTCTTCCTAGCAGCCCTCCCTGAACTACACGAGGTTCCTCTCTTCTGTGCTTCCTTAACCCTTTCCCACCTAGCACTTGCCACACTGCATGGAGATGATTTCTTTAACTGCCTGCCTCTCACAGCAGTTTGTGTGCTCTTGAGAGACCCCATCTATCTTGGTTCGTCACTTTGAGTGTCCTCAGTTCCCAGGGGACAAGAGCTCCTGAATAACTACTTGTTGAAAACTAAAAGAAACACACCCTACCACCTTCCCCCTGGGCAAGCGTCCTACACAACTACTGTTTAATGTGCAATTTTCCCTAAATTTTCCACCGGGCTCCACGGCCTTGAAGAATCCTACAGTCTCCAAGATTCCATCTCTCACTAAGCCTGGTGGTTTTTCACATTAGCGTTTGTTCGCCATTTGAAGAGGGCCCGAGGGTTGAAGAGATTTCTGGGCAAAATTCTTGAGCTATAAATTAGCCACAGGCTAAGATCTGAATTGGGTTTAGAAGTGTGTGTGGGAGCTGGGGAAAAGGGGAGTGGAAGAAGGGTAGGGGCAGAAGGTTCTAGGCAAGGTAACGGAAGACCTTTAGGCGGGACCCCAGGCTGCAAGCCCGCAGAGCTAGGAACTGGCATCCTTTCCCACCTGTGCCCGGAGCCAAGTCTGTACTAACAACGATCCTAGCTTTGCTCATGGGAAAAGACTCCCATTCTCCCAGATGCTGAGAGCAGGCGAGGCTTCCGTAAAGAATCATAAGCCAGCGTGGCCACAGGCTGCCTGCCGGGGAGATGAGACCCCTCCCCAAATCTGACATCCAGTCCAGAGGTTTCTACAATTTCCTTTATTGACAAAGCAAAGTATAAAAGAACAAGGCCCCCAAATGACCCATAGGATTAAAAGTGCAAATTTACTCCAACCTGAAATAGAAAATAAGTGGCAGGCCTTGACTATTCGGGCCATGGAAGTTTGGTGTGATTAAAACGCTTCTTAATCACACAATAGCAGCTGAACCATATTTGATTAACTCTTTGGTCTCTGTTATTGGAACAAAACATGCTATGATCGCAGCCGACATTGCATCATAATATATAGGCTGGGGCCGGAATACATATTAAAAAATCACAATAAAATAAGAGGAATGTTTTAAAGCCAAGTGACTGAATCAAGGCACATTTTTTTTTTTAAAGCAAAAGGTGCTTAAAATATTCCTGAATATCTGATACTTTAAAAACCAGATTATACGTAATTTAGCTGCATGTTTTAGTCTATTCTCTCTGTATCGATGGTCACATATATCTTTACTCTTCCCCAACTTATACTCGCTTTCTCCTCACCCAATCATGTGCTGTGTAGGTATAAAAGATAAGCAGTAGTGTCTAAGTAACCGACATGAGATTTTTAAAAAATTAACAAACGCCACATGATAACATTGAACTTTTTTTCCCTCTGAAGGGACTCTGGAAATGAAAATGAGGTTCGTTTTTTCCCTCACGTGGATAGGGATGAGTTAAGTCTTCAGCATCAAGGTTAAAAGCCACATTTCACAGAAAAAGTAACTTGCTCCATGAGGTTCAAAGAGACGCACTGGAAGCTGGTTAGGTTAATTCAGAATGCTAGGATGTCACTTTGGTGGGAGCAGCTGAGTCAGAAAGGGGGTAGACTCATCCGATCAGAACAGCATTCTTGGCAGTGGGAACAGTAACAAGCCTCAGAAGCTCGGCCCGAAGGGTCAGCACTGTTTTTTTTCTGGTGTTCACCGCCACCAGCCACCGTTGCTAAGACACGGGCAAGGATATTACTTAAAAAATAAAATGAAGAATTTAAAAGTAAGAATAAAATACAAAAAAAAAAAAACCCCACAAAAAAACAAGTTATTCTGCGATCCTTCCTGATGACTCATCTGCAAACTCCAGCACAGCCTAGGAGTTTAGCCATCAGGAAGGAAAGGCCAAGAGCTAGCCCCCAGAGGTTTCATGGAGGATCTGAGTCCAAAGAACAGCTCCAGCATCCTGGGTCCTTCTGGGAATTGCGAGTTAAATGTTATCTGTGGCCCTGTTAATCCTTTGGTTTGTTTCTACAATAAAGCTTAGCTCTGTGAGATAAAGAAGACTTAAAATATCACTCCCCCAACTACATATAACATCACATCCGTAACAATAAATAGCATCTTATACATACTTGAGGGGTTAACTGTTTAAGGCAGGGGTCGCAAACTGGTGGGCCTCAGGCTCAACCAGATGTTTTGTTTAGCTCACATGGTGTTCTTGACATTTGAAAATTACTTTCTTTAAAAATCAGCAAGTTTCACTTAAAAAAAAAAAAAAAAATCCTGATTTCCTGCCTCTCTCTACTCTTTTTTCCTGTATGGAGCCATAATGGCTGTTGGCCCTAAGGCGGGCAGTCCCTACCGCTCACCCACTCCTACCCTACCTAGCTCCTGCAGGCTGCTGAGTTTGCGACCCCTGGTTTGAAAGAGCACATACTGAAAAATGGGTTTCCTAACTCAAACCTCCCTCGTACCCTCACAGGATTTCCGCCCTACTTCCCCTTCCCTTCATGCCATCTCATTCATGTCCTCCTTCCTAAATCCTCTGGACTTCTCCTTTGCTCACATTCTCCCTTCTTTCAGCTTCAGTTTCATTTTGCAAAAAAAAACAAAACAAAATAAAACAAAACAAAACAAAACAAAAAACAAGCATCTACTCCCAGCCCACGAGCATTCCAGGATGGCTCCCAAGACTGGTCAGTGGGAGTGACTGAAGGGCGTCTCGTGGCAAAATGGCTGAGTCATTTTCCCCAGACATTTTCTCTGAGTGCTGGCCGGGACAATTAATCATTTTTTTTTTTTTATCATGAAAATTTCTGAGCTTTCCTATAAAAAAAAAATATATTGCAGATATGAATCTCCAGTACCAAGTATACACCAAAAATGTGTACATTTCTGATCAAAGGCATGACAGAGCCCTAATAAAATACAGAACTGAGCTTAATTTAAGTGCCTCAGGCAACCGTCACGCCTGGCTAATGCGCCATATTATTTCATTTGTACACAGTACACGTTTAGGATTACTAAACATTGATCAAAATTGATCGAAATTTCTAAGTTTTGGCTACCATGTACAGAGAACAACTGCTCACCATGGCATTTAAATAAAACATTAATATTTAAAAAAATTCACAAATACAATCAATGCCCTATTAATTTAAAAACATAGTAAAATTTTAAAATCTTGAGGATGAGGCTTTGAGTCATTAACCTGAAGAAGAAAAATAACAAAAACCTACAAAAACAATAGATTTAAACTTCAAAACACTATTAAGATAAAAAAAAGAACCTATCAACTCAGCTAGAAATAGTTGGAAAATTCGGCTTTTAAAAAGCTTTATAATTCTCTCCAAGAGCCTCGCTGTCACCCACCCCAGTAGATTTAATGACCACAAGGGAAATTGTGGCTGACTACGGAAACATTATGAACTATATATATATGTATAGTTTATACATATATATATGTGTATATATACACACACTTCCTCTTGGAATTTATTTTAAAAAGTAATTTAAGAAAAGCTGTGCAGTTTATATCTTTGCAGGAAGTTGGCAGACTGATGATCCCTTTGCTAAATGCAGTACCTTAAACCTTACAGTGACCTCGAAAGCTAAGAATGACCTCTGTGGTATCAAGGGGAACTGTCCCCAAAACAACCTCAAGGAGAAAACACATTCGCAACTGTTTCCCTTATAGTCCGAGGCTGCAAAGGATCTGAGGAGTCTCTGCAGTTCTGATGGCAAGGATTTCCTATAAATCATTTACTCGCAGTGACTTCCTGTAGTGGCCAAGCAGGTCCTCTAAGGAAAGTTTAAAGAGTTCCCTCAAAATAACTCAGAAATGAAACAATGGCTCTATTCAGGTGGCTACTTCTGTCTTCTGAGTTTTACCTTTAAGAGTCTAAGACAGTACATGTCTTTATTAAAAAATAAAATAAAATCCCGAAGTATAACACTGGGACTGGCTGCAGTTCCTATTAGGCAAACGTGGGATGGACCATTATAAACCGAAACTGAGTTTTCAGTCGACGGATGCAATCGTGGGCTGTCAGAAATTTGGGAGGACAGGAGGGATTTCAGAATGGGCTTCTCCAGGCTGCAAAACAAACCCAACCCGGTGATATTTCTGCCCAAAGACAAAAAGAAGCTGACTACGTCCGCCCCATGTCCCCCCCGCCCCACCTTGCTCTCCTCTGCTGACCGATGGGGGAGTCACTGATCTTCAAGCAAAGAGCCCAAGATATTCACCAATACACAAGCAGGATGCTGTGTAGGACCCGTGCTGAATCAACTGCTCCCCAAAGCGCCACAGGGCCACTGCTTAAGGGCAGCTTGGGCTCGGGGCTGAGAGTGTGAAGGACATGCCAGGCACTTCCTCTTCATTATCTCATTAAACTCAGAAAGAAATCCCATGCAAAGAAGTTTGTTAAAAAGCCTTAGAATGAAAAAAGGTTTCTTTCTTTTTTTTCTTTTTCTTTTTCCCACCCAGCAGCAAGTCCCAGTGAGACACCTGGCTAGGCGAAGATATACATCTTTCTTGAGACTCAATATGTTTTCCGCTCTAACCAGCGTTGTCTTAAACACGGATTTCATCGCCACTTTGCACTGTGCCTGGCTCACAGTAGGCGCTCAACAAATGGGTGTTGACTGGTACACATCCGGGCTTGTGCCTGGAGGGATGTAAACGAGCCTGCTTTTCAAGACTGCATATTTTTTAATAAGAAGTGCAGCTGGCCTCCCTTTCGCATGCGACACTTAGCGCCACAAAATGAAAGGACTGATTAAAGTGCCATTTGCTCGGGAAGTTTCTCTAACCAACTCTTGACTGGACCCTCGTGACTGACTTCACAATCCCATCACGCCCCCGTGATTGCACCGTTTAAAAAAATACATTAATATTAATTTGAATAGTGAAAACTATGATCCTCAGAACAGTAGCCCCTAGAATAGAACTTCAATTCCAGTTGGAGAGATTCAGATTAAAAAAAGAAAAAGAGACAATCGGGAACCCAGGACCTGGCAAGTATTATGCTCAAAAACGTTAGCTTCTTTCAATGTGGGGGCCAGACAGATCTGTGTCTCAAAAACCAACAGAGGGAAGCGTCCCTGAAGCTGGTTCTTGCTTCCTTCTTTGGACTTCCCTAAAAGCCCGGATCCTTCTACAGAACCGTTCCACACAAACCCACGCTGGCCCAGCTCTTAGCTGCTCTTAGATGTCTTTCCACAGTCTGCCGGGGACACTCTGGTGGGTCTTAAGAAGATGCCATAACTGTACTGGATTGTGGAGCCAGGGGTGACATTTAAGCCACCCAATGTCACCCTCTGAACTTTCCAACCTTCCGCAGCTCCTCTTCCTTGCCATCCCCACCCCCACCCCGTGGGAGACGCTTTAGGGGCATTAGGCCACTGAGGGGCCCTGTCAGGGTTTACGGTTCATCTTTAGGAAACCCCTGCGTGCGCTGACTCCGGGGTGAGGGACACCTGGCAAGGTAGCGGGGACCCCCATAGGCCCGCAGAAGCTGGGGCAGCCTCCGCCATGTGGACAGCAAGCGCGCCGCCACGAGTTCCCGGGCCGGCCAGTCGAAAGCCGCCAGGAGGTCGACGGCGGCGGCTTCGCGCAGCACCTTGGGCAGCGGGCCCATCTCGGCGGCCGCCCCGCCAGGGCCCAGGA